CAAATCACGCAGCAGGAAGAAGCGACTCAAATGTATGCGAATGCTACACCAACACACGTTCGATTCGTACATGTCCAAAATTCTGCGACATTACTCGTGCAAAACTCCTACACAATACAAGAGGTGTTCCAGACAGCATCATACCACGCTACACGAGGCATTCAAATCAGAAACTGCTCAAGCTAGTAGTTCAAACCCATCGTCCAGATAAAATAATGGGTGATGATGACATAATTACTAGCCACTTTACACGACGAGTAGAAGCTCGTCTTCTAATTAGCACAGGTTCTGAATTTACGTTCGTCAACGAAAAACTAATCAGACAACTAAATATTCCTTGAAAACATTCTATCATTTACATTCATACAATTGGGGGAGCTTAATTAACTCAGCCACAAGGTGTTGCATCACTCACTCTCCGCTCAATTCATTTTAACTTTATTTTCACCATACATGCTCACATCCTTAAGACACTGACTACATGTGGTAGTAAATGGGGATTGAGTTCGTACCTTGTAGTTCTTCAGATTATGTGCACATGGCCGCTCTACAAATATTGCTTCGTGAGGCATCTTGTATATAATTATCATTAGGAGGAACGGAACTTTTACCTTGTAGGTTCTGCAGATTTAGTACTCTTTATGGCACCTCGTAGTGGTCGGCAGATTTTGCCTCATGCGGCACCTTGTAGATTCTGTTTTATGCTGTGCTCTGTGCACCACTGTTTCCTTGTTCACTTTTCTTGGCTCTGCTGAGAGAGTGTGTATTGTGTACCTACCTTGCACTTATCATTGGAAGAACATGACTAGCATTTGCCTCCTTTTTTCTTGGCCTTAACTCTTGGTGTCTACATCCTTGTTCCTTGGCCTTAACTATTTGTGCCTACATCCTTGTTCCTTGGCGTTCTTTGTAAGAAGCTTCTGTATCTTGACGTTGTCTTCCTTAAAAGCATTCTCTTGACCACCGTGTGGTCATTTACGAATTGCCTCTTTCTTGGCGGTTCAAAATGTAACGCTCTTAAGCTCAAAGTGTAACGACTTTTTCCAGATATCAAACGACGAGGATTTTCCGAATGTCATAATCACTTGTTTTCCACAAGCTTGAATGACATGTTTTGCCAGATGCTTAACGGTTTGGGTTTTCTAGAAGTTTAACAATTGGGAAAGGTTCTTGAAATTTCGAGCATAATCTTACTAAACGCGTAATTTTATCTGAAGTGGCTCAGATATTAGATCCATTAGGTTTTGTTCCACCTGTCATGATCATGGCAAAGATATTCATACAGGAGCTGTGGTTTCACAAGCTACAATGGAACGAAACACTGTCCTTCCAATTGTCGTCACAATGGCTAATCATTAGAAGAGATCCTGCCAACTTGGATCTTGACAAAACGGTTGGTGGAAGACTCGATAGAGCTTCACTTACTCAAGAGAACAAGCCCGGCCATTCTCCAACGACCGTTTACCCATACCAGAGGTGACTATTCCGGCCCCTTAACCATAAAACCTAGAAGGGGCGAGGAGCGAAAACTCATAAAGTATGAATTTGCGTTTTTGTGTGTTTTACTACATCTGCAGTACATATCAAAGTAGTCAGTGACTATTAAACCAATGGCTTCATATCCGGATATACATGATTCACAGTACGTCCTTCATCGGAGCTGATCGAGTGCTCAAAAGACTATTCGTTCAAGGCACCCTCAAACTATAACAGATAGTAAATATACTCTCACAAGACAAGACACAATGGGAATTTAACCCACCTGCATCACCTCACATTGGAGACAAGTGGAAAACTGTGGTAAAATCTATTAAACACCACCTGAGACGCACTAACGGAGAAACCTTGCTCACTTGAACAGTTAATCGCCTTGTTTGCTTAAATCGACGTAATTCTCAACTCCAGACCTTTAGAGCCGATGAGTGACGACCCCGAAGATGTTTTGACACACACCCTAGGACATTTCCTCATAGGGAGCTCGCTCACAACTATTCCAGAACCATCTCTTAAAGAGTTGTCAATTTAAGAATTGTCTCGATGGTAACTTATAAAACAATGTCTACAACAATTCTGGTCACAATAGTTAGCTCACTCTTTATAACGATAACAATCAATTACCAAATGGCATCATCCAACGAATGACATTAAGATTGGCTCGTTGGTACTTATCACCGAGGAGCGTTTTCCACCTTGCAAGTAACCTTTCGCTCGAGTAATCAATATCATTCTGGGAAGGATGGGCTGACCAGAGTAGTCATACTAAAAACAGCCTCGACCATGGCTGGACCAATACATAAACTTGCAGTACTCTCAATCCCCGACCAAAAGAATAATCATCGATAGAATTGCTGATGGCGGGCGGAATGTTCGAGATTGCGAGAATGTCTCGAGTGTTTAGGTTTCAGGAATTTGCCAAGCATTAGAATTTTTGGGAAACTCCTTAATGTTCTGATTTCTGGAAAAAATCCCAAGTGATTTTTGTGCATTCTCTTTCTAACCTACAATCGCTTCCATTGTTATCAGCATTAACTAGGCTGTCGCGTAGATATTTAAAGTAAGCATGCTCCGAAACATCCGCTCTGTCTTAGCAGGGCCGCCATGGAAGGAACATGCTCTGCCTTAGCATGGCCGCCATGGAAGAAATAGGCTTTCTCAGTCAAGTCATTACAGAAGGAACACACATCATTCTTTAATGCGTATCAGTTAATGGGCAGTCAAGTGTGCTGACTCCATAACAAAAAAAAAATATTTGACTACAAGAGCAATAATAACGAACTACTCCTTATCACGAAGGTTTACCAGTAGTCTCCCTTGATGGTAACTACTAAATCACAGGATCAGGCCAAGGCAACTGTATCGCTGGGAGTAAGAGTAGCATAAGCCAAACTCTTTGAATAAGTGAATTACAGAATTAATTGCTAATCCATACAAGATTAGCAAAGGCTGTTAATAGTATCTCACAAGCCATACTCTCTTCCAAGGAGTGTGCGCAATTCTTTGCTAATTCTTAAAACATTAGCAAAGGCTACGTTTTTACGTTTTAAAGGCAAGGAATATGGCAAGAAGTATGCAGAATCCGTTATTGAACCTTACAAGATCAGCAACAACATCGTCACCATCAACAAGGAGCAACTGCATCATTTTGACTGAATATAGTTCACACTCTCTTATGAGAAGTGAATTCAAAGCATTAAAAATGTAATTGTCAAATAAACCATAATCAAATTATATTTTAACAAAGTCTGCACACATTGTATATCTCTACAGCCCTTCCACTTAAGTCCTTACCTAAGCATTCGCTAAGGCGGGTGACAAATTAAATTGAACTATCGAACATGGGCCTTCGAGCCACAAAATCAAACAAATACCAATAATTTGAATATGTCGGTGATCAGACTAAAAACCTCCTGTTGATGTTGGGTGGAGGTATTGCTGGCAAGTGGAAGGCGCAATGCAATTATCCAATTCTACACGCAGTGTTTCTTGGCTTTCCTTTATTAAATACAATAATATGCTAAATAGTTAATGGGCATACAGTGTATGATGATGGTGTGAATGAATAATTTGATAAAGTTTCTTCAATTGTGTTACGTGCTGAGGAGAGTGTGTGTACTCTCCGTAATGTGAGAGTGACTCTTTCTCTTCCGAGAAGTGCCGCTATAGTAGTATGGGTGACAGCCGCCGCTGTCGTACCGAAGCCGTCTAAGAGAGACTGGGTTACTGCTGCTTTAGTGTCGGTGTGATCTGATAATACATATCACACCGTATGTTCACATCATAACGTTATGTTTGCACTAGTGCTTTATGAGTTTAAGTTTAATTAACGGATTCTGATCGTGTGGCGTCGCTATTGGATTGTTCGAGTGCTTATTGTTTGATTATTACGTACGTGTATCTTTTATTTGTGTAATTGTGTACTTGAGTATTTTTTTACTATAATTTATGTCGAACTTGATAAGTATAAGAGAAAATATTGATTTTATTTTATTTGTAGATATTCTGAGTCTATTTACTAAATTATAATTGATACGATAATAATATATCAGTTACTGTTTGATTTTAAGGGTTTGTTTTATCGCTCGAACTGCCAATTCAATAGTTCAGTGGATTAGTCTCTCGTCACTATAACTTAAAAGGAAATAATAAGGAGAAGGGCTGAAAAATATTATGTATTATGTATTTTTAGTAAAAACAATGTTTATTATTTGTTAAATATTATAATAATATTGCACTGTTGTTGAGAGAAAAGATTATTCTATTGTAGTAGTGAGGGTTTTTCCTTGTGTTCTTGATCGTTGTACATGCTATTGAAATTATTGTGTAACTTGAGAATTGAGGTTATGACGATGTTGAAATATCAGCCTGTGTTGTCGATCATGCTCATGAAAGAGCATGAGAAGATGGTGTTTGAAATCAAATATGCTTGTGTTCGAGATTGATGTAGTTCCATGAATTCAGAAAAAGTAGGTCATACGCGCTGTGCGGCGTGCGGCATGCGCGCCTAGACCGGCACGCGCGATCGGACCGGGATGCACACTTGGGCGAATGTTTATAAACAAAACTCGGCAAGTCAAGTGTAATTAATACAAAAAAAAATTATTCGCATTAATAAGTAATTTATATTCATTTAAATCGATCTTTTTTAATAGACAGCTAGTTCATTATATATTCGTAAATATACAAACAATTAGTAATTTATAAAAAAATGATTTTATTAATATATTTAATAAACAATATTTTTTTATATAATAAGATAGGAGACGTATTCCGAGTTCAAACATGCAAACATGATTTAACCATTAAAAGTAATAGAATATGATTATATATTGATAACGTAATATAATAAAATATATAATTTGATTAATGTTTACCGTATATTTCCTTTATTTGTACTATACTTTATATGGTTACATAATGCTTCAAACATTCCACTTGTTGTTGTAACGTACCGACAGTCAAATACCTAAAATGTTTGAATTCATAGTAATTCTATATTTCCTGATATAAGCTCATAAGTTCAATAATAATTGTTTAATATAAATATAACATAAATAAAAAATATTTTATATTCAATTAAATAAATTATATGAAATGCTTAATTTATTAACATCTACCAAAAATATCAATTGGAAAATTTATGAAAAAATATTATAAATATAAAATTGTTGTTCTGTAAATTTTTTTATATCGAAAATAATGAATAATACAATTATAATATTAATTATATTATAAATGGACGTTACTATAAGATGTATTACAATGTATTATATGATTATTATTATGATTATATTAAATGATGTATTACAGATATAAAATTTTCATATGATTTACAGATATCGACATAAATTAAGATAAACTTCACTATTCTTTCAGAGTTATATCGAATGATTATTACTCATTACGTTATTAATATTTATACTATGAAAACGTATATGTCCGAGATTGAGAGAATCTCGCGTATAATATAATTTGGGGGAAAATGCCAACGGCTATTTAATTATTTAACTATCATTTTAGTGGAAATTATTCAATGGTCATAACTTCAGAAAATTGTTGAATGATCTGTAGCGGTTCGGCAATTCTCGTGCAATAATCAGAAGAATGTCAGATTTTGAATAAAATCGACTCGGTAACATTTCTAGAGTTCTGGGAAACCACGCGTCCATTGTTGTCAAGTACACCACACGTTGACGCTTGTACAAGCCAAGCGGCGACGCTTGACCAGGAGCGAAGTCCAAGAGAAGAATGAGCCTTCCAATTGAAAGACCTGAAGCTAGAGGCGCTCTTGTCGACGTTTGGACTATCAAAGCCTAACTCCTTCTGAAGTTGGAAGATAGAGGCGTGCACGCGCAGTCGTACCGTCCAAAGCGGTGCGCTCTGATTAGAGAAACTAAAACATAGGCGTTCCTTCAGTGGGAACTCACTGTGAGTGGCCTTAAAAGTGGGGACGACTTAGATACAATTGTCAACTTACCATTGACATCATAGCTATTTAGTCGTAAATGCGGCCACTATAAAGGACTGCATCGCCAGCCCCTTCAAAACTGTTATGGCAGTGAGCTACCCATCACAAGTTCAGATCAAGGCCACTACATGTGGTGTGTGCCACTCAGTTTTTGATCATTACAAAATCAACAATAAATCGGAATTATTAACGAGCATCTTGTGTAGTGAAACATCTATTACGAGAACCGTTTGTAATTAATCTTTGTAATTAAGCTTTGTAATTAATCTTTGGATACGTCCAATACATCAATGATGTAATTATAAATAAAATGTAATAGACTATATTCACCGATAACGAACTGTATTTCAACAGCCTTTCCACTTATCTCTTTCCCAAGTCTTTGCTACGGTGGGCGCAAATACAAGTTATCGAACCATTGATAGTTCGAGCTAGGAAAACTACAATTTTGAACAGTATATATACTAAATACGTAATAATAACATCATTCATTATGTTGCCTATAATCAATATTATTACACTGTGCATTAATAAATATTCGATCAATACAGCTTAAAATTTTATTTTGGATAATTACAATATTTCTGAAATAACTACGATTCAGAAAAGCTTAAATGAATAGAAAATTAAATATAAGAAACAAAATTTTAGTTTATTTAGCTTGGTTTAAAGAGAAATAATTAAAAAATAATATCCGGCAATTGTTACAATTTTTAGTAGAAATACATCTATCATCTTAAAATGACTACAAGTTCATTGTAGTCTATAAAAGTTATATAATATTAAAAAAATTGTGTGCTTATATAAAATGATATAATATATAATTAGAAAATTTTCTAAAGAAGTAATTCTTCTACTAATTTATTACCTAATTATTCAATTGATATTAAATAAATTACAAAATGTATGTTTAAATGAGTAAAATTGTATTTCATATCAAAAGAATGACCATATTATACTTGGGAAATTTATATAGAATATTTTTGCAATTGTAGATTAGTAAGTTGATGTAGAAAGCTATTTGAGAATAAGAGACTCCGTTTAGTAAGGCAATAAAATATCTGACAAGTAATGTCATGAAAATTGTATTTAAGACTTCAAAACTTTCCTGCTCATAATTATTTGTACTAGTGTCATAAAACATCTGGAAAACTCTAGCGGAACGTGCTCATACTCCCAGTGCAGTAGAACCTAATGGGTTTACTGCCGCGAGAACCCCAAAGTAAATTCAGAACGAATATCAGATATGCGTGAAGCGCAACAACATGCAATGACCATACGTGCGCACTCGGCCTTTAAGACAATGCTTGCATTGTTCTTGGCTATGCCACATCTGGTCGATCGTATTGGAAAATTGACCACGCCCAAGCGGACCCTTCTTCTAGCCAAGTCCCAGAGAGGGATGAGGCAACCAAAGAGAGGTGACCAATGGAAAAGGCTCGCCACCTTCCGACACTTTCCCAATTAGCAAATTCGGAACTGAGCCCGGAAGGAAGTGGAAATGAAGGCGTGCATAATCTATTGTGCGACCCAAGATCAACCACTGATTGGTTAATTAATAAAGGAAGAAGGGATCCCAAGTGGAGCGGGATCAGTGAATCATTTTAAGAAGGGACTACGTAATGTACCCTCACTTACTCTTTCCAAATACTTCTTACAGTGAAGGATAAGTCACGACCAACTCTCACGGAGGAGGACCGGAGAGATGAGTCGTTTAGCTAGCTGAGTTTTAATAATAAGTTCTTTCCACTATTGTGAATTAGTGTACAGTTGAATTGATCTCATCAAGACTGGATTGCGTGGGACCTGACCACTTGTGGTCTCACTTGGAGACAAGGAAGAACTGAAGGGTTGCAACATTGCAAGGGAACGTAATAACAAGCCATCGAAGAGAGACTGGAAAATCACGATACACTGCAAGTAAGTCCTTACAGCTAGTACTCATTCTTGATTTCTCGGCTTATGTAGAAGACGGACGGATAAAGTCCAACTACGGAAGCTTCCCGGACATACTCTTGAACAAGACCAGCTATAAACGCCACATTGGCTTCTCAATCCCTCCAACTACAAGTTGTTCCCGCTACAGATGGCGCACAGCTTCGCATAACCTCCATCTCGGCTCTCTTACGACCGATATTTAAAGGCAACTACACACGTGTTAAGATAAACACAATGGCATTCCAGTGTTCGATCAGAGCACTACAATCATGATAACCTCTTAGCGATAATATTCAATAGATTATAACCTGCTTCATTCATTGTAAATATATTTCAACACCACAAGATTATCAAGAAATATAAAGTTCGTCTGTAATTCACCAAATAAATAGAAATAATAAAGATATGTGATAATTATTGAATCAATACATTAACCCTTTACTTGCCCGGCAACCCCACAGAACATCTAGTGGGTTTTATTGTTCTACGTTAATTATTGCACGTTTGGCTGACTAGTCAAATTGTGGGATTATTTTCCGAACAAAAGCTCTTAAATCTGATTACTATTAAATAAATATTATGTAAAAGTATTTGAGTGCTTTATAAGTGAATTTATTCTTGAAAAAAAATATCATAATTTTCTATTTTGTATAAAATATTTAAACAAAAATTATTATTTATTTGCGTATTTGGTTATAATCATAATTAATTATTAGAAAATTCTTAATTATTCTTTTAATTGTTAACAATTGTATAGACATAAATTATTTTTTTTTTCTCTATGATTGTATTCATTAGGTGTAAGTAAATGATTTGTTGTTATTCTATAATGGATTTATAAACATTATATGTAATCACTTCTATATAATACATTTTCTAACCTGCAACTTTGACCATTGAATTCTGCCAATACATCTAGAAGCATTTCTCCATGCTAGTTTTGCACCAAAGATTAATTCTGTTTCTGTTAATTGGTATGTACCAGTTAATAAAGTGTCTCTTTTAATGCAATCCAATCTTTGGTTATGTACATCACTATTCAATCTAAAATTTTAAATTAATACACTAACATTTGTGCAGATTATTTTTGTGTATAAATATAAATTCTGCAAATTAAAATTAAAAAAAATTTTTTTAAAAGTAATAACAACAAAGCACAATCAAAAAGTAAATAGTATATTTTAAATAATAAGAATGTTGACGCCGTGTATTATATTTAATTTTGTTTAGAATTAGACTATGGCCACCAGTTTCCTAGTGGGAGAAAAGTGTAGGTAAGTGGAAGGGGCGCTTCAATTCAGTATTTAACACATTTGCTTTTCGTGCTCGGTATTTCGTTTATTTTACAACTAAAATATAATGATTCTACGTTGATGAAGAGAATCATTGAGATCGTGCCGTTTCTTGCTTGTTGCCACGTGGTGTCAGCATGCACTATATGTAGAGATAGGAGGTCGTAAATCTTCGGATCCTCTTGACGCAGTACCTCTTGCCGATGTGAGTACCATTTTGCCAATGGATAACTGCCCGCTATGCAGAGGTTCTGGAGTTGGGGTACGGTTTCGGTTAGCTGTTGCAGCGTGTCTGCATCTCCAAAGATGTCATAGGAATATCTGCCATAAGTGATAGATAGTACTGCCAAAAGGTTCTCTCTCCCTCGTCTTCTACCAGTTGCAGCAATGTTTTGACTGCTATAGATGGGGCGGCTGTCGTGCCATATGTAACTCTGGTCAGATGATATGGTACTTCCTTGTTTTGTTCGTCGATCCAAAGGATTCTCTGTAGATTCCAGTCGTCCTTGTGAATTCGTATTTGCCTATAAATTTTTTTGTACAAATTAACAAGTCTGAAATTTCTGAGTTCAAATTGACTCCAGTGTACATAAGATCATAGATCGAGTGTCCTGATCTCGAAGCGCTGGAGCCGTTGAACACCACTCTTAGCCTAGTGGTAGTGCTACCTGGTTTGGTTGAAGTCGTGATTTGTTCTTCATGCTGTAGTGTATTATGCCGTTTGTGACTTAACATAAGTGTCGGTTACTTACGAAACTCTTTCATTCCGCTATCGACATTTCTTTGAACGTTGGGCATACGGTAAACAAATGTTCTTGGTGGCAGTAGTCTTGTCATCCTTTTGGCTTTCTTGTGGGCTCTATTATTCAGTCTTTACTGACGACTGTTAAGCCTTCACTGACCTCTTTTATTGCCCTCACTCGAGGCATTAGGAATATTTTGAGTTGCTCAAACTCTCTTGTGTATTGGGTGAGACTTTGTGTGACTTGGTGGACGTTTAAGCAGTCCCATTTGTCAACTTTGATGTTTAATAGGCACAACTTTTTTAGCATGTCATTTCCATCACTAATTACATATTCTACCAACCCTGTTTCATCTTTCAATGTTGATGAGTTGAAGAGGAGTTAGTTGGGGCGAGATTGGATTGATGGTCGGCAGTTTTCATATCGCTCTGTTAGATTCTTCCATACCAATGCAAGAAAGTCATTTTATAGTGAAAACCCCGAGATGACCTAGATATTTATAATTATAAAAATTTAGGTTTTAAAATGTTATTTATTATTAGCTTATTACAAATAATCAACGACAATATTAAGGAATTCTAATTCTAAATGAATAAGAACTCACATACTGTTTAAATAATTATATAAATACATTTTTAATTATCAACCTTTTAATTGAAGTAAAATATTGTTCTAAAAAGTCCTTTGCATGTTCTAAAACTTCTTTAGGTTTCCGTAGTTCTATTCCATGAGTAGGTCTAGACATAACACTAGCCAAACAAACTTGATTGGAACATAAAGTTTTCTGAAAATGTTAATCGATAATTATGATTTCATTCAAAACAAGCATTTTTGACGTGCATAATGTATTATGTGATTATGTTTATGAAAACAATAGAACAATAACGAATTTTTTATCTGTTTATTTATTATTTCATTAATCTCAATTTAAATCAAAACTACAAATTGAGTTTTTTGCGGTGATTCTTCCTCAAAGAACATGTACGAGATTAATTATAGAAACAAGTCTTCCATTAAATAAGAACAATATAAAAATTTAAAATTCAATCGTATGATTGTAACATATAAAAAATTATAGAGCTTCTTGCAGCCGTATTAATTGCCTTTGAGCTCTGCATTTAACTATTATTTTAATCATTATGTGCATAATAATTAAAAAGATCCAATTTACGAATCTTTAATCAATTATTTTTTAATAGTTTTTCATAAAGATATGTAGGTATGTTATTTTATAGAATGCATACTTTGACAAAAAATTTGTAAAATTTACTATTTTTTCTGATACTAAAAATAATATAGAAACAAGATATGTTATCGTTAATTTTTTGTAAAGTTTCATTTACAATAAATAAGCTTATGTTAATATAAAATTTTATTGTTTAGGATAAGTTATAGAATAATTGAAACTAAATAAAATTTGTAAATCAGAAATGGACAAATATAGTATTTCAATATTTAATTATCTATCTCAAAAACAATAAGCAAAATGAAAAAGTGTATAAAAGGAAAATTCAACCCGTAAATCCACGTATAATTAAATTAATTAAATAACACTATTTAATATAATTACAAAAAAAGGTATATATTGGGGTTATATCTTATAGGTTACTTTACTATTCATTAAAACGTTCATTCTATTAATTTTTCTAAAAAAATATTGAATCTGTATTAAATGTATACATTTATTTCCAAATTTTTAAAAACATTAATAATATTAAGTAAGATGTGAAGTATAATACTTGACAGACATTCAAAATTGTGTAATAAAATGGAAATTGCATACCAAATTAAAATTGTAGAAAATTCTTAAATAAGATAAATAATTTTATATATAAATATTATAACAATAAAATAGAGTTAAATACTATTTTTAAAAAATATTGCTATTTAATTTAGCACAGTGAAATTCCATTGATGATTGATTTAATCTTAATAATATTAACTTAGTTTGCAAAAGAATTAATTATATTTAATAGAATAAGAAATAGACTAGTATTTTCGTTGATATCATGTCTGTAATTTATAAATAATACTCGCATAAGTATAGTTGTTTTTTTTATAGAATTTGTTTCATGAAATGAATTCAAAGTTTTTTAATAACTCATTTTTAATAAATTATTTTTAACTAAGTACGCATGCTATTAAATTTATCAATCAGTATTTTCGTTTAATAGAATAAAACAATAAATTATATTTAACTTACATTTAATAGTATGATTTAGTACTTATAATATTTCTTGTGCGTATTGCATATTGATTAAATATAATTGTCAGATTAACAAAAAAAAAGATAGGAACAAATAAAATTATATGATTGCACAAAATCTGAATATTATAATTGGTGATAATTATTAATATTCTTTTTTTTATATAATAAATTAATTATCTGAATTCATTTATGAATAACATCAAATGTATATGTAGTTTAATTTATTTATTGTTTTAAAACAGTGTTATCGTAAAATTTTTCCTTAAATTTATTCAACTAATTTATATAAATGAAAACAAATTAGTTACATAATTTTATTTCTGTACATTAAAATGTAGCAGTCATAATAAGAAAATGTAGAATTTTATTCATAGTAAATGATATAAAAATTAAGAATTTATTCGTCTAATAATTGTAAATAACTTTGTGATAAAATGTTTAACAAATTCTCCAATGGATAGAAAATATTTCGTTAAAATGCAAAAATATGGGCAAATAATTTAGAAAAATATATTTATATTTAAAAAGTAAACATATTTTTTAATGACATATATCTGTAGTTTCATGCGTATATGAAAAATATTGAATTTTAGAAATTAAAAAGTGTCATATTTTGGTATTATTATTATTTTTAAACATTAATTAATGTCTCGCTTAAACATAATTTATATTAAAAAATATGCTATTCAAAAATATACTCAATTATTATATGGCCGTTAAATTATAAACAAACTATAACATACTAGCATAGTTGCTAGATAGTTATACTAGATAGTTTTATTAAAAAAATTTAATTACTTACTTCCATACTTTTAATACATAACAAATCAAAAGATTCTGTTTTATGAATATTATTTCGTAATTTCGTAGGCTTCTTGGAGCATATATTAGGGCAGTTGTCCTTCATATTTATGTATTAATATTAATTTAAGAAAAAAATTGAAAATTATTATTTTGTTATTATAAATTATTTATTAATGTAGTTAATATAAAAATTGCCTTTGATTATAATTCTTTTTTAAGTTATTTTATCAGGAATTGTAAATAATATTAGTGTTTGCGATGGAAACTGTGAACTTCTCACATGCGCCGTGGGCCATCATCGATTTATTCAGTTCTAGAAAAATTCCGACTTATAATAAATTAATTAATTTGCCAAATACGTAAAATGCATTCGCATAATTATATGTATAATATACTTAATGTTTCAGACAGAAAATTTAATGTTTTAATATTACAACTATTTATTTTACAAAAGCATATATTAATTTAATATAATTAATAATAATTAATAATAATTAATAATAATTAATAATAATTTTTATTAAGCAAATTTCAAAATAATTGATGATTGAAAATTTATATTTTTATAATTAAAAAAATAGTAATTTATAGTTTTTGTGTATTATTATAAGAGCGTATAATAGAAATTTAATTAATTAAAGTTGAAGCAATATAATTTGCTAAGAAGTCAGAAAATTGGAATTATTATTAATAGATTAAAAGAATATATGATAATATTTAATTAAAATCACATAAAGTATTCAAATTTGAATTTCGTATAAAATTTATTTAAACTCAAAATGTATATTAGCTATATTCTCCTTATATATAATTACATATTGCACATTCTGTTTTACTTTACACGTCATATAATAATAATATAAGAATATTATTGAATTCATTAAAACTATAAATTAGAAAATTACATTATAATTTTATTATATAAATATAATAGAATTTCTTCATTTTCTTATTCAGTAAATTTAATTTTTTGTAAAATAAAAAAAAAGTTCTCTCTCTCTTCTATTTTACATTACATATTTAATAAATTTCAACGCATACGTAACTTATTTATTTCTAAAATTCTTAGTTTTAGAATTAAATTTGTTGCGTATGAAATATGAAATCTAAAAATATTCAATCTAGTATTTATATGTAAATTTAAAATTAAATTTTATATAGTAAAGTATTACAAATAAAGGTCCAAATAGTTGTCTAAAAATGTATAAAAAATTATAATATAAATATAATTTTTGTAGATAAAATATTTATTTAGAATTCAACGATGAACATGGTTGTTTATATTATGAGAAGAACGAAGATATTCGTACCTGACAATTTCATTCTTACAAGTATCGTATTTTTCATGAAATCAATCAGTTATAGTTATTAGTTGATTTTTTAGTTTGGATTTTTTTATGATATCTTGGTTTATTGAGTTTGCGATAAAAGCGACGTTATATATGTTACGGATTGCAGCATTTACGCGGTAAACAATGTAGGAGAGGTAAAGACACCTGCTTAGGTCAAAATATTGCGCGCTAAGTCGTAAACACGATTCTCCGAAATCGGGAAACTTCAATACTCAAATAGTCAAATTTACATTACAATTCCGACTAACAAGGGCCGACGAACTCTCCAAGGCTAGATTCTAGTGACGTCACTTCAACTATCGGTATGACAAGAGTAATCTAAAATTCTCTGGACTCGCAAGCTTCTACGATAATATTTAAGGAGACGCGTTTGACGCTCTCGTCCTCTTACTAGTTCAATCAAGCACTCATTAAGATCAAATCGCCGTTCTACAAGTCAACGCAATTTACATAGAGATCACCTTCAATTCACAAAGACTGCATCCACCTACAAAGATAGTCTCCCAGTACCATCACACGGATCGAACTCACTACACGTAAGTCACGCTATTACACACGTCCTTACGTACCATCAATGCACCGAGATCGACTCCACACGTAGGCTGCGCTGTTACACACCTTCTTACGAATCATTAACACACGGCTCTCTGAACTCAGTAAGCAGCAATACCTAGACCACGGCATCATAGCCATTCATCAGTGACGTCACACACCAACGCTACCACCCAGGCCTCTCGAGCTTATCGGTAGCGGCGACGGCGGCATCAATTCTCTTCACCAGTGACGTCACGCACTAGCGCCCCACTCAGGCCTCTCCAGCTCATCGGTAGCGGCAACGGCGGGATTAATTCTCCTCACCAGTGACGTCACGCACCAGCGCCCCACTCCGGCCTCTCCAGCTTATCGGTAGCGGCAATGGCGGCATCAACACTCTTCAACAGTGACGTCACGCACCAGCGCCCTACTCAGGCCTCTCCAGTTCATCGGTAGCGGCAAGCGGTGGCGTCAACACTCCCCGTTCACACCGTGACTCTCTTCACGGCATCGTTACACTTTACCAGTGCATCTCCCACTATCACTTCGAGTCCTAACCACGAGTAGGAGAATCACGCGCCGCATCAAGAATACACTTACAAGATTATTATCACTCATATTACCTGAAGAAACTCTCGCCTATTCATAGTATCATTCAATCAATCTCACCTCAATAGACAACTGATTATTTATTATATAATTAGATTTAATAAAGGGAAAACCAACTCATACAAAGGCAGTATTGAATTATTGCATTGTCCATTCCACTTGCCAACAAGCCTTCCCTCACCATCTCAGGGAAGGTTTTAGTCTGATCTCAGCCATTTTGGTCCTTCGAGCCGGATAAGTGGAAATCAGCGCATACATACAATACTACCAATCATAAGGATAATAGTACAGTATGCAGATCATTGACTACGAGAAAGATTCTTCACGACCGTAAGTAAACCTTACTGCTCCATCATATCAACATGTCTACACAGGACAAAAAAGAAATTAAGGAGTCAGTAAGTGTCACCACGCCCAGCGCGAACAATGAAAAATTGACTGGTGAACCAATCATGATTGCGCAATCACAATGGGACCGCATCGAGACGATGCGAAGACTGACTGACTGCCTTAATGCAGACAGAGCAACTACAAGCCTGCCGGAAGTATTAGCAGTGAAAAAAAAATCGATGAGACACACAACAACTTCATGATGGATCACAAATCCATAGTAAATAGCTGACCAGTGTCAGGCGCAACACACGAGTACTTCACAAAGAACGCCATGACAGAAGAGTCCATCTGACACACCAAGGCCACGGCACTAATCATGAAATTGTTTCAAGAATTGGGGTCGACAACCACGAGCACAACAAGTACTTCAAGTGCGGATGATGGGATACTGCCAACAGAAGCTCGTGGAGTAACGTATCTCCCAGACATCCCTATCCCCAAGTTCGACGGAAACTATCTTGTATGGCCCGTTTTCAGAGACTTGTTTCAATCCTTAATACTTAAGTGAAATAAAATAAAAACCAAACTAAGTGAAATCCAAAAACTGCACTATTTGTGGAACTCTCTGCAGGAAACACCCGCAAAATCAATATCAGGCATGTCTCTACAAAACGAGTCGTTGGAACCAGCCTGGCACTCATTACTGAAAAAATACGACTCACCCCTACTGGCTCTAAACGCGCTTATTACATAAGCAATCACTATCTCAACAACAAGAGTGAAAGGAGTCCGGGAAATGTCGACCCTAATGAGCAAATTACGCAGACTACGAAGATCACTAAAGCAACATAATGTCGCAAACGCATGGGACGCAATACTACTCCACGTGGCATTATTACAATTAGACGAACAATTGATAACAGACTGGGAACAATTACTAGAAGACAATTCATAACCACTATTTGAGAAATTCGATCAATTCGTAATGACAAGACTGGAAGCACTAGAAAATGTAACAATGACAAACACACAAGGAATTCCATCGACAACAAAATAAGCCCAGCATCATACACCCATAAAAAGATTCGTAAGAATATGCCAATCATCCTCCACACATGAGCCACCAAGTCCAACTAACAAGACAGACGTAATCCTAAAATGCTTCTACTGCAAGGAGCTGCACCCCAATTGGACATGCAGCAAATTTAAGCAGCTCACTCCCTCTCAAAAACTGGCCGCAATCAAGGAAAAGGGACGATGCTATAATTGCCTGGGCAATCATCTGCCAAAGCCATGCACAAGCAAGAATCGATGTTACATGTGCCACGAGGCACACCACTCATTACTACATGAAGCACCAGACAACACATCAACCAACGTCCAATCACTACACACCACATGACTAGACACACCACAAACCAGTGCAATCGGGCGCCAACAACCAATCACATTATTAGCCACGGCTGTAGCCAAGGTAATCATACAACCAACAACATAACAAGCCCGCCTGCTCATAGACACTGGTTCCGAAATCACACTCATTACGGAAAGATTGGCACGACATCTTCATGTGACACCCAGAAGGTCTAAAATACTTGTACACGGAATTGGCAGGACTTCACCAATACAATCACTAGGGATCATCACCTTCACTATACAATCATTGCGGTCAAAGGAATCAATTATTGTCCATGCTCACATACTCAAATCCTTATCCATACTTCTACCTCCCCACGATCTCCCCAATGCACATGGCCTCACATCCAGTGATTGCCACTGGCTAATGAAAATTACGCCAAGGCCAGACCTGTAGACATCGTGTTGGGAGCCGACTCGTATGGACAAGTAATCAAACCCAACATTATCAAGTCCTCACCACATCTACCTATAGCACAATTGTCAATATTCGGCTGGGTGGTTATTGGACCAGCCGGTAACTGCACTCACACTGCCATGTCAATGACCATAACCACGGAAGAGCTGAAAGATAGCCTGCAAAACCTACTATTACGATTTTGGATAATAGAAGAAATACTAAGGGAATCAGGCGGTCAACTTAATCCAGATTAACAGCAGTGTGAACAGTATTACATAGCAAACCAAGCACGAGTAAGCACTGGAAGGTACAAGATCAAACTCCCCCTCTCAGAATCCCCTGAAACACTTGGCGACTCATACTACGTAGCCCATCAATGCCTGGCGCGCCTACAAAAACGATTCACGAGGGACGATAATTATCGCACGTTATATGTTCAATTCATGACAGAATACGAGAACATGAATCATAACTAACAAACTACCATTCC